TATATATATATATATATATATATATATACACACACACACACTGCACATTTCTGGACTGAGATGTCCGATGTTTTTATATATATATATACACAGTGTATATATATGTAGATAGATAGATATGAGCATCCATTTGTACGAATTGTATTTTTCCTACACATGATACGTACTGACGTCTTGAGGTTGACATCTTCTACAACAGCTTGTTCTGTGACTCCTCCGTGCAAAAGGACGCTTGCACTTCTCTTCTTGTGAAGCTCGAAAGTGTTAGAGAGTAGGCAGAGGGAGGCCAGTCTGTCACATCAGATGGGCTCCATGCTGGGAGGGGCCCAGGGAGCCCGCAGACGAGGCTGAGGATAAAACCTGAGGCTCTGAGCGCAACAGGATCAACACTTTTGACGGACACTTGGCTGAACAGACAAGAGTTTACCGTCTTCCATCTCTTGTTCACTTTAACTTTCTTCATCTTTGCATTGAACTTTGAATATAAATGTGCAGTACGTTCTCTTTGACTCCATTTTTGTGCTCTTTTTCCTCATCTGGGGGCACCAATCGAGGCAAAATATCACATTCAGGCAACTATGCTGCACCAGAAGCAACTGCAAATAGTTGGAGCCAAGTTAAACAAGCATGGTGGCGACACCTGACCCATACAAATGAATCAAGTTGTGAGAGAGGGAACACAAACAACATGAAAAGATTGCTAACGTGGGTGAATTATTCAAATATTGTACTGATCCCTCAGGCTTGCCAGCGGAGACATGAGAATTCTGCTAGATGGAAAATAAACAGACTCGGGGCTAGTGTAGTTGTGCGTGTTTGTTTACAAGCGTTCATGCGCGCGGCCGTGTTGTATGCACATGCATCTCGGCACCCATATGCCGTTTTTCTGCACTGCAGGCAAGTGTCTAGTTTTCCTTAGCAAGTGAGCTTCATTTGTGTCCAAAGAACAAACGCAAGATGTTGCTAATAGCAAAGAAGACATATTAGTTCACATTGAAAGGAGTGCGGCCATCTGGTGACAGACTTGGAGCGTCACTGTTTCAATCATTCGGTGCCATTTGCCTTGGCTCCCTCTCGACATCTCACATTCAGTCACCGGTTTTGGCTCATTCCGCCGAATTAGTTAACATAAGGGAGACATGTCTGCTTTGTTCGGTTGTCCATTAGAACTTGCATTCATCCAGCAATAGGAAGGCTATCTTTTAAATGTGCAAACATTTTCAGAAATACACGCCATGTGATGTTGCATCGGTCACTTCTGTGGGCTGAGCTGCCATCCTGCCTCCATGTGGGGTTTTGCCAAGGCTGTTCCCGTCAGGTCGGTGGGATTAGGGGGCCATTACTGTGCACGTGTGTGTTGACGGAACTGAGGGATGACCCTCTGCGCTCATGTTCCGCTCAAGGACACGCCACACCACGGGTGTTCGATGAACTCGGACGGAGACAGTCGCCGGCCGTTGTTACGAGGAGCAAAAGCCTCAAACACATCCTGCTTTGACCTGTAAAGAATGGCGGGGGTCATTTTTTTCCTTCCCCCCTTGACAACATGTAGAAATTGAGGCGTGCCACTGGGCTATTGTATTGCTGTCCCTCCCTCGGTAGCCGGCCTGACCTCAAACCTGTGGTGCTGTGTGATTGAAAATCAGTTGCGCAGCCTTTCACTCTTGTGCTAACAATCTGTCCCTGGGGATTTTATATGGAAAACTCTGTGTGGATAATCAAATATCTGTGTTACACTGGAGAATGAATAAGAACCGGCCAGGTTTTGAACTACAAGCTACATTTTTAAAAGGGAAATGTTGACAGTATTTATTGACTGTCTTTCTTCAAATAGTGGCCTCTTAGATGCAAGTAGTGGCTTCCTTTTTGCCCCTGAGGAATATACGGCTGTTGGACATGATCAAACTGACTACTACACTTATTTTGAACTTGCTCACTCCATTGCTGACTAAAACAGCAGCATCTACCGAGGCGCGTCAGCAGTGCCTCGAGATGAATTAGTACATGTGGAGTCATAAACACAAATGTGCGCAGCCAACATGTTTTGTTTTAAGTCCATTTCTGCATTTTTCCATTAATACGGAAGTTATTTTGTCTCATTTTACATATATGGTTTGTTTCTAACATAAAGTACATTATTAACAGGGGAAGCATAGCGGTTCCTTCAGAGGGCCATCCGTATGCACAAACCCACCGAGCAATGCAAATCCTAAAAAAAATGCACTGTAAAAAAAAAATTGACTCTAATTGGCAGGGTTGGAGCAAGTGCGTAATATTTTTACATCCACAGTGTATACTTCGAGTGTAGTCTGAATCCTACTCAAAAACTGTCATAAATATCATGCTATTTCCACTCCAGTCTCTTTGTTTGGAAATATTATTAGCATCGTCCTGCTTTGTGCTGGAAAAAATTCATTGCCCCATAAGGGGAAATGTTGTTCCCATCTCTTTATTTCACAGTGGCGTGGATAAACTGAGGGGCGACATTCCGCTTTCATTAGGCTCTAATTTGCTTTTCAATCATTTTCAATCCCAACTTGGATAATCAGCCCACTGGCCCACGGATGGGTCCACTCAATGCCAAACAAGGACAATTATCTGATTATCTGGTTCCGCTCGCTCTGCCAAACAGACCTGACTGCATGGAGACCCGAGCTGTGTCAGCATCCTGCCGCACACACACACACACACACACACACACACACACACAAATTATAGGCACACATAGACTAGTTTATAGCTTTGGCCTGCAAAGGACGTAATTCACACATCTGTGACTTTGCTTTTAGCCACTTTTCAATTATGGGCTGGTGCCAAACCCGAATAACATTATCAGCCAGGGTAGTTATGCTATATTAGTTCCATCCCACCCTGAGTATCACTCTTGCTTCATAAACCAAAGCCTCTGACCCGCTCTGGGTCAGACTCGTCGTCTGGGGTTCATGCCCTCTGCGCTCTTTATTGCTAGGATTAATGAGCGCTAGCGTTTCCTTGCCCTGGGGTCAGCCAGGAAGAGGGTTGCTGCTGTCATAGAGGTCTGTTAGTGTGGCTGTCGTCGTAGTAATTTCGCCAGGTCCTCTCCACTGATACAATCGGGACAGGGAAGAGCAAAGCGGTGGTGTTGCTCGCCCCACGAGAGCTCATTACGGCTCTTTTTCCTATTAGCCCTGTGGTAACCTTCCCCGGGCTGGGTGCTGCGTCACTCTCAATATGACTCTGGGGCAGCAGCACCCCAACCCACCGTTGTTGCAAAATGACTGCACTCTCTGTTTGTGTTCAAACTGATGCACTGTGTCCTCCAGCAGTGTTCACTCACAAGTGTTTAGGAATGTACTTTAATTGGTAATGCAATGACCGCGTGACCGTCTTAAATATCTTTTACCCCTTGAAATGAATATCTTGTAGTATGTTCCTGCACAACACCTGTTTTTAATAGAAAACTAGCACGATACAGTTTTGTATTTTATTAAAAAAAAAAAAAAGAAGAAGAACAGTAATAACACAAATAGATTGGAAAGAATTAAAGAGTTTGTGCTTCATGGTATAATTTTCATTTAATGGGCATTGTGTGTCAGGTTGTCAAGTTCCGGAATAATCCGGATAGGGGTGGATCCCCAAAAATGTAGATAAGGATAAAAATGTCTTTTGACAAAAAAGGTTTATTTACAACAAAGGTCACAAGACCGACAAAGTACAAATGAGATCGCTGGCCAGCAGGGCCAGGAAAACCGTGGATAACAAAAAGCGCATGCACAAGGCAAGGGACGAAACATCAATTGCTTGTCAAAAGGACAAGTAAATACAACAGTCAATGAAACACACATCAGACCACACTATAAATAAGAAACTTAAATAGTTCAAGGGCGGCCCGGTAGTTGAGTGGTTAGCACGTCGACTTCACAGTGCAGAGGTACCGGGTTCAATTCCAGCTCCGGCCTTCCTGTGTGGAGTTTGCATGTTCTCCCCATGCTTGCGTCAGTTTTCTCTGGGTCCTCTGGTTTCCTCCCACATGGCAGGCTGATTGAAGACTCCAAATTGTCCCTCGGTGTGAGTGTGAGTGCGGATGGTTGTTCGTTTCTGTGTGCCTTGCGATTGGCTGGCAACCGGTTCAGGGTGTCCCCCGCCTACTGCCCGAAGACAGCTGGGATAGGCTCTAGCGCCCCACGCGACCTGAGTGAAGATAAAGCCGTTCAGAAAATGAATGAATAAATAGTCCAATAACAATAACTCACTAAGACTATGGCAAGAACGGAGAACTAGAGCAGTGGTTCTTAACCTTGTTCGAGGTACCGAACCCAACCAGTTCATATGCACGTTCACCGAACCCTTCATCAATGAAAAGTAAGATGTAGATTTTTTTTACAAATTCAAGACATAAAAAAAAAAGGAAAAAAAAAACACATTTATTCAAAACAGAAAATAGTCAATAAAATTACATGGCCAAAGTATATATATATTTTTAATTGTATGACGTACTATCACGACAGTCACACGGTGACTACTGAGCGAACTAAATTTCCCGCAGCACTGATTGGACAAGCAACATAATGTGATCATCTGCAGCCAGCGATGGCCAAGCGGGCGTGTCATAACTAATTGACATGTTGAGTCGGGTGTGTCTTAACCTCCATGGCAGAGGTTCCGTCGAACCCCTGAGACCGATTCACCAAACCGCTGGGGTTTGGTCGAACCCAGGTTAAGAGCCACTGGTCTAGAGAATTGCACTGAGTACATAGAATGCGAGCAAGACGAATAATCTGACAGCGGCATGAGCGCAGGGCAGTCCTTAAATAGTCCAGGAGGTTGATGACAAAATGCAAAATAGCTGCATCGCTGAAGGGAACGCCCGCCGCTCCATTCCAGCTGGAGCTGAAAACCAAAACACACAAACAAGACATGACACGGTGTGCAGTATAATACTTCAAGACATAACACAGATTTGAGAAATGAGGATTAAGAATATATGCCTCGGGGTATTGTTTTCCCTTTCTTCGTGTGTTGTTGTCATTTGGGTTCTGATTGAAGTTGTTTGAAGTTTTATAACTACAGCATTATCAATGCTCATTTCACTAACGTGATAACACGTAATAAGGCAAACTTAGTTTCAACGCATGACCTTTGTGATTTGTTCATTTTGACAGAAATTTTATTTTGGGGGGGGGGGGGTCGGTTAAAAAGCTTCCACTGAATTGTGACCAAAACGTTTTTTTGGGGCCGTGGGGGGTTAACATATCGGTAATTTAGGGCAGTTGCATAAATCTTTCAGTGGTGGTCTAACACATTTGCTGTACACTGAATAGATTTGAGGAAAAAATTCCCACCGAATTATTGTAGACTGACCGCTCAGTGAAACAACTCACTGAGCGGTAAGGTTTAGCTTGGTTACATCTGATTTCCATGCACTAAATAAACAAAAAGAGAAAAAGGTAAAGGGGGACAAAAAAAACCCCTTCAACTTCCCTGTACATCTGCTTGGATTTGAGCATTTGCAAGTGGATTTGCATGTCTTTGTGCATTCCCAACAGGTTCACGTTTGAGAGCCTGTAGATTTGCACAAGATGGCAACAGTTCTCTATCAGTTGTTCAGGTCGTGCATGCAAATGTGCCACTACTTTTACATTTGGGCTGCCATGTACTGTATGTTGTAAAAGGAAAAAAAAACAGACACTGCCTTGAATTTGTTCAGCTTGTTTTGTAATCAGTAGCTTTGCTATGTATCTATCTATGTATCTATCTAATATGTCTTTATCCGCAAGTGAAATAAAATACATGTCAATTAGTCGTCACCTCAGGGTGTTTTCTTTTCCCTGAATATGGGTTTACAGTGGACGGAGGTTGGAGCGAATGGAGCAAGTGGTCGCCATGCGGCGCCGACTGTGCGATGTGGAGGAGCAGGGAGTGCACCCAGCCGTCACCGGGCACCGGAGGCAAGGACTGCCAGGGGCTCGACCTTCAGTCTCTTAACTGCACCAGCGAGCAGTGCCCACAGAGTGAGTTTACAACCGCCCACATTGTGCAACCTGCACTCTGGTCTTGCCACTTGGTGAGTTCCAGGGAAATGATGGAACGGAACACAATTAGGAGGCAGCAGAGGATTGTGCGCATGCCAAGGCTACTAAGTGCGAAATGAACTTAAATTCGATACACTTGGGCCACAAAATATTTCCAACTTCCGTGCCCGTTTTTGAATTTGCATGGCCCGAGCTTTAGCCGAAAAGTAAAATCAGGGTAGAAGCAAGCGTTGGCTGAAAGCCCACTCTTTCATTGTAGACTCAGAATTACACTGGTGAAAATATGCTCACCTGAAAGTCATGTCACTAAACCTAAAGCAATTTATTTCATTAGGTCCACCGATGGAGGTTCATGTGATACAACGGCATATCTAAATCTCATTCCACCTTTCCAAGAGATATTGCTTTGTTGAGCCTTGTTGCCAAGGCTTTAAAGGACGCCCAAATGCATCATAATGTGCGAGGTGTTGATAAAAGTTTGGGTAGTCCTTTTCCAAAGAGTAGAAAGTTTTTAAAAACATACCTTTGTGACAACACTGCATCCAATAACCTTGAAAACTTGACACCTTGAAGCTTTCCAAACAGTGCCAGCCAACATTGAACAGAAAACTCCATTAAAATGTAATTCCTGACAATGGCGATTGGCTGGCAACCAGTTCAGGGTGCAGCCCGCCTACTGCCCGAAGACAGCTGGGATAGGCTCCAGCACGCTCGCGACCCTCGTGACGTTGATGCGATATAAGCACAGCAGCATGCGGCTTTATCGTGGCGACACTGCAGCATAAGGTTTCATTGTGGGTCATTGTGATCAAAGTGGCAGGCAAGACTTCCACCGATCTTCTATACAGTCACGATACAATGGCAGGTAGACCAGGAATGAGCTGAGAGATACCTCAATGCGCATGGCATATGACTTTAAGAGCCTGACTGTTGACAGTAATAATTAACACTGGTGCAGTGCTCACCGCTGATGTTGTGTTCCCTTCTGACCTCATGATAAACCTGAAAATGAAATCAAAAGATTTGCCGCCTGTGGATCCTTCCATGCATATGTATTTGTTAAATACATGTTTGGGATTTGCATAAAACGTCTTGTCATGGCAAACACGTTTTCGAACGAAAGACATGACCAAATAAGTTGAAATATACAGTGTACAAACGAGGTGCCAAATAAACTGCTAATTAAAAGCCTTAGTTGCTACTGATGTTCTTCAACTGGAAAAGATGAATTTGAAGCCGCCATATAAAAGCAATGAAAGTCAATTTTCCATCTGATACGACCCCTTTAAAATAATGTATGGATTTTTACACACATAACTGTCATTCCCTGTATTGTATCTTGTGCTCCTTTCATGGGCTTTTTGACCTATTTGATGACCTGTTCAGATATTCCACAACGTTGCCAGATCCCTGACGAAGTGCAGGTGGTATACTTTATGAATCATTTGAGGGAAATTAAAGAAGTGGCATGTCTCTCAATATCACAGTTCAGACCTGACATAATTTACGCTGCACATTTCATTTCATATATTTTCATAAACCTGCCTGGAAGACGATACCGCTGTTTCCCCATCCAGTCAGGAGTTTCGAGGGGCAGACAGAAATGGTTATAAATCGTCTTTGTTGTTGCTTGGTAAACACCGTCTTTTAATGGGGATTTAATTGACATGGGCGAGCGAATGAGTGCGCTGAATAATTTATCTCCTGCTGATTGGTACAATCGGATGGGCCGATACATGGCAAGGCGTGTGTGAGTGTGTAGGGGGCTGCGCGTTTGTGGACGTGCGCTGCATATGCATAAGCCGCCTGTGTGTGACTTTGCGCATGCATGTGCACGTCTTCCACCGTCGCCAAGTCTGGCTCAGTGAACCAAGAAGCATCGGTCAGCCCATCATCAAAGGTCAGCTGCTCTTCTCGAGGGAGGCACGATGCGTACACAAAGATGGCCAGTCATTGTTCCTAACACACGCATGCAGAGTGACTGTATTTACACTGGCCTCTGAAGAAGGCCAATCTGCTCCCAGCAGACGTGGTCCCATCGACAATAGCAGTGTGAAGTGTGATAATAAGCAAAATCGCGAGATGGTTTTGGTGAGTCAGCAACTCCGATGCTTGAACCGTGTCTGTGCGCTATTAGCTGAGCTGGAAAACTTGCCCCTGCAACAAAAGGCATCCTACTCATTTAGCCTAACCCAACAATTAAAAGGCAGAGTGACTGTCGCACCGCAACAAAGGATGTCCTTTATCAGGAGACCTCGCACACATCTCTAATCATCCCTCATTAAGACAGAACAGGCATATTTTGCGTGTTGGAGACAAGTAAATGCAGTCCAATGAGTTTGCGTGGCATCTCTTCAAAACAAACAGACCTCACCTAAGCAGCATAGAATACCAAGATGAAGCTAAAAACACACTCTGGAAACGATGTGGACACATGGCACTAAACAAAATGGCAGATGGCGAAGGGCACAGGAAGGATTTATTTAGAAATAGTTAAATATATGATTGTGAAGATAGTCATAAACATAATTTGCCACAGGATCCCGTGTTGGCTGGCAGCATCAAACTCATAATCTCCTTTTGCTTTGAGGGTTAATTTGGTGGAGCAACCGCTGATGTTTTCGTCATGATTTTGTTTGTCACTGCGGGGTCAGAGGTGGCATGAAAAACGGACAACCATTTGTTCAGGCCTACATTTCACTGGGGCTTTGCTGAGGGATAGGATGACTGTATTGTGACGAAAGTAATGGTCACATTCACTTTGAGAGTTTTACTAGCCACATATCCCTGACCTGAAGAACTCCAGAGTGATTCATCTTCAGATGGGCCACTAGGAATGGCCATGGGATGAAATATATTCCCAGGGCTTGTGATAAATACCCTGGGAAGAGGCACAGGGGGCTGCAAAGTTTTTTTTTTTTGTTTTGATTTTTTAATATATCATGGGGAGAGCAGGCCTCACAGGTGCGACTGCCAATGCCGTGAGAATTCAAAACTTCAGCTTCGTGGCCACTGACAAAATGAATTAGGAGCTTATCTCAAAAAGGAATCCCGAAGCAGCCCGTCTGAGCTGCTGAAGTTAAAGTACAATGACTGGCCTGAGGTCTTTTGACATCCCTCACAGATGGGCATCCATCATAAAGTGAGTCACGCACGCTGAATCAAAAGTTCTATCGCAGCAATTAGATGAAGTGGCAATGAATGGTGGAGTGATGTGATGGTCTGTAAAACGGGTAAAAGAAAGATCAGGGCTATGTGTTTGCGTGAGCATAAAGCCCATTCAATTATATGGCCTGATTAACGATGTCAATTAAAGTGTGATAAATGCCCTCTCTGTTATTGACCAGCATTGGCAAAATCAATGAGCGGGGCCGAGGAGCCGAGAGCAGATGCTGGTCAGAATTGTAAGCGAGCATCGGGATCGTTTGGCGGTGACACCTGGCGGGGCAGATAACACTTCACTCTGTGGGGCTCCGATAAGTGTCCGAGAATACCGACGGAGCCTCAGCAGATTGACATACTTTGCGCGGCTTTGAGAATTGTACGTGCGGGAGATTCTACATATGCGCAGCGCACATTTGCTGGGCTTTGGTTTGCCCTTAAAAGGTAAACGGCCGAGCTGCCAGTTCAAGGCTCGGTTTATCCAATTAGTAGTTAGCCGACGAGTCTTTGATTGTGTCTGCTCGTCTCCCGGTAGACCGCAGCATCACAAGTCCAAATACCACAGCGTTGCCTTTTGCCTGGCCTTTGACTCACCCAGACTATTGAATTTTGGAGGATTGGATGAGAAGTGTCGTCCCTTCTCTCTTTTTGGACACCTCGCTGTAGGAGGTGAGAGGTTTAGCTCGCTTTGTTTCGGTTAAAGGCACATTGCTTCTTCCCTGAAGGATTTAGGAGGCGCTGTGTAATACTGCTGCGACCAGAGATAAGGTATGGCAACGGGATAAGTCTACATGAGCATCCGTGCTTGTTTTTGTCATTCCAAGCTTTGCGTCCTCAAATGTTACCCTTATCGCTACAAAATGCGATCGAGCCTATTGTTTGTGTACGTTTTGAAATGGGTCGGATTTGTTTGGACTGTCACTGTCTGAACACGAACATATTTGTAATAACGCTTCAGTGTCAACGTTCGGCATCGTCTCGATCAATCCATCTTCTTCCGATGATGAATGGTTACTAATGAAACATTTATCTTCCCCCCCGGTTTGTAATGATTAGTCGCAAGCTCGTGTCGTTTAATTGCACCCGGCTCATGATGCCATTTGAAATCAGCACAATTCATACATTCAATTAATCAATTAAGACTCAGTTCAGCCAAAATCAACTTGTTTTTGGGAACACGCTCAAAACGTTATTCATCATCCCAGTTGTCTGTCCTTCGTTTATTTGAACAAAATACTGATGATTGGGATCTTCCGAGTCGTGTGAAGACATGCTATTATAAAACATGCTCGTTTTTAGCGACGCGCTTTTAACAGGGCATGCAGGAGGACAAGAAAAATGACATGATGTCACAAATGTAAAAAAATATATATCATAAAGCGAGGGTATATTCGATGTATCCTGTACAGTCGTTCCATTTTATGAACCTGATTTGTACAAGTCCACGAATGTATGGATTTTCAAGTCTCAGATTTACTCACACCAATTAAAATGTGTCAGATTTGTGCTTCCAGCATGCAGCTTCTAGTTCCCGAGAAGCAGTCGGCATGCACAGTAGTGGAAAATCCCACTGTGTCCTTAAAATGTGCCGTCATATAGAATGATGATCTGGTTCGTTCTTAGACCAGTTAGTTCTGATCTTTTGGAAGGTAAATGACACGTTACTCGCGGCTACATGCCATCTTGTTTTGTGGCCCTTATAGTCTTCAATTTGTCTTTTTTTCTGGTTTGAATTGTCTTCCTTCTCCTGTCCCTGTCCTTTTGTCATCCACTCAGCACACACCAACTCGCTGCGCTACAAGTTACCAACTAGCCCAGGGGGAGGGAACTCCGGTTCCTCGCGAGCCATATCCTGCCTGTTTTAGGTCCCTCCCTACTCCCAACACACCTGATTCAATTGTTCAGGCCTCGACAGAGCTTGCTGATGAGCTGATCGTTTGAATCGGGTGTGTTGGAGTAGGGAGGGACCTAAAACAGGCAGGATATGGATCTCGAGGAACCGGAGTTCCCTACCCCTGAACTAGCCGATGTTCTCCGCACTTGAAAGGATTCGTCCTCGGCTGAATGTGTCCCCTTTTTGACTGCGTTTACTTGATGGTACTACGCCCTCGTGGATGGATCCCTGGGACAATGCCCTCCACAAAGGCCCCGGGAACATCTTCCTCCCCCGCCATGAAAATCGTCCAGCTGGCGAAAGACAGCCATAGCAAATCCCATTCTCCCGCAGAGCGCGCATACAAATGTATGAATGTATGTCTGGGCGCAGTTATCATTTCCACACTGTATGCGGTTAGCATGCTTTTGAGAGACGAGTATAATCTATAAGAGAGACTTGAATCACATAGGCAAATCCACTTTCTCTCTTTCAGTTGTGTTGTGTTGTGTTCTGGGAGAAAGACAAAGGCGGAGGGAAACATGCATGAATATTTATCCAGGGCAGAAATGAGGGGAAGAAGAAAGGGAAAGCCTGTCTTCTTTTGAAATGTCTGCAAATTTAAATAAAAGTCAAGCCATTTATACCAGGATGGCGGTGTAATATTTGCTAATGCATTCTCTTAGCTCTGCGTGAAACCTTCGGGGAAGTCAAGCAGCGTTCAAGCGCCAAATGTCGTAACTGATTTTATTCGATTAAACGAATTGAGACCTTTACACAGCAGGTAATGAAACTCCTTGCAGGAGCCCACAGGTATTTCCACGCTACACCCGAGGGAACCTTTTCGCTTGCAAATAATTCCCGGGCTTTTATTTCTTTTATTTTTGTTTTCTTGCAGCCGTGAGCGGAGCAGAGGACGTGGCGCTTTACGTGGGCATGGTGGCGGTGGCTCTGTGCCTGACCCTGCTCCTCATCATCGTTGTGCTGGTGTACCGGCGCAAGAAGGCAGGCCTGGATGCCGACGTGGCCGACTCGTCCATTCTCACTACTGGCTTCCAGCCGATGGGCATCAAGCCCAGCAAGCCAGGTGTGTGGGCACCGCGGCCACGCAGGCCCCTCACCCACAGCAGTAGGACACTATTCTTTGTTTTACTCCCCTCTGTGCGTCCATCGGTCTGTCTGCCAGTTGTGACAGTGCCGCATTGATCGACGTGTATCGTTAGGCCACGTTTCCGCCAAGGGATACCATTCAGTTCCGTATGGTGTATAGTGGAATGTTGATTTAACGGGCTAATACGGGGAGGGGTCGTCCGTTAGAGCTCAATGTCTATTGCATCAAAGTCCTTTGTTTTTTTTTTTTTTTACTGCTACCTTTCTTTCCATTACATATGTCACAACAATATGACCTGCTTTGAATCCGAGGAGAGCTGATTCCGTGCAATTATTATTGATTACACCGCCATGCCATATTCATGAGGGGAAAATGTAATGGTGTCATTTTACCCATGTTGTGTAATTCCAGCCTCACGGAGCGGAATTCAATTTGGCTGTGTGTGTCTCAGTTGTATGACGTCACCCTTTTTACGTCACTAATGCAGTTATCGGCCTCCTAACCTCGCAGCCTTGAGCTTACCTGAGCAATTGATAGAGTGGCAAGCCGAAGTCAACCATATTGCTTGTTGGAAACGTGGCTTCAGCACTGTGTGTCTTTCCCAGGTGGACGTGGTTACAGCGCTTCACGGTTAACAAAGACGCATGCGCGTGTTTATCAGATTGCCTGACTCTGCTCATGTTTTGCCATCACGTCATTGTCGAGAATGCACCGACTTTTTCTCACTGCTTGTGTGTGCCTGTGAGGTTTATTTGCGAGTAGGGATACGACAGTCTGACTTGGATGAAACGGGCTGTCGTGTTTGTGATTCACTATTGTTAAAAAAAAAAAAAAATCTTTCAAGTTGTATCAGAGTTGTTTGATACTAATTGTTTAGCTGCTAAAGAGACAGAGAGAGGAGGGGAGGGCTGTCAACTGGCTCGGGTGTTTGTGCATTGTCGAGAGAGTGTGAGTGTTTTTTTCCACAGCGCCATGTGTCTTTCCTGTTTTTCTGTCACTTTTTGCGGTGTTGTGACAGCACTGGAGTGTGTGTGAGGTCTGTCTGCGTGAGCTATCGGCTCCCCGTTTCGCCACTCATTGTTTTCCCTCTCTCTTCGTTCTTTATCATCCAAACAGAGAATTCTCATTTGCTTACCATCCAACCCGATCTAACCACCACCACTACCAGTTACCAGGGCACTCTGCGGGCCCGACACGATGCCACCGGCAAGTTTTCCATGACCAACGGGCCTCTGCTGGACCCGCTACCCAAGGGTTCACACACACTGCACAATGGAAAGCTCAATTCGGACCCCGCCGACTTTGTGAGCAGGCTGTCCACTCAGAGCTACTTTAAAACGCTGTCCCGTGACGTGGCCAACACTTCCTACGGGACCTTCAACTTCCTGGGCGGCAGGCTGACGATTCCCAACACTGGTGAGTGTACTTTCGTGTAGTGCTCCCTGGCGATAGCATGGTTCGCGCTCCTGCTATTATGCATTTTTTTGGGGTGGAACAAGTCTATTTGTCTTTCACAAAAGTCTCTATTTTGCAGAAATAAGCCCCTCCCCCCACTAAATTCCCCCCCCCCTCCCAGTTTACTTAGTTTCTGTCATGCCCTTGCATGTGCGAATGGAGAACCACAGTAACAGATTTCAGTATTCTTAAATATTTCATATTTTGGGATGGGTGGGTTGCTTCCCCCTTTCAATTCCCACCCATTTTTCGTGGAAAACGCATGTTGAATGATCACCAGCGAGTCATAATTTTTTTTTTCTTTTCCCCAATGTATCTCAGTGGATGTCAGTTATATGCAGATTTTCACTATTCGCAAGACAGCCCGGTCGACTGGACTTAAAGTGTTTTCTATACATTTGTATTTGCAATTTTCGTGTGTGTGTGTGTGTGTGTGTGTGTGTGTGTGTGTGTGTGTGTGTGTGTGTGTGTGTGTGTGTGTGTGTGTGTGTGTGTTTTTCACGGTCTCAGCACACGCTGTAAAGCAGCCGTGCACCACGCACAGACATTACATCGCTACACTCATTTCTTCATTTCCATCCTAGTTTAATCTACAAACACCATTCCCACTTCCCTGGCAGTTTCAGTAGTCCAACTGAGGATGCAAACTCAGTTGTTCTATTCTAGTTTGAGGCATACCTTTTTCCAAACAGATCGGCAGTCAGATGCCTTTTAATTTTTCAGGGGTTTTTTTTTTCGTTTTTTTTTTTTTTTAATAGCGCCACTTAACTGACCTAACTTTTCCGAGATATGTAAATAAATTAATAAATTGTCTTTTATTTTCATCACACATACATCGATGTAAATTTCACAATTAAAATAGGACAAGATAATAAAACCTTTATTCGTCTCACAATGGAGAAATTCCCAATTTACCCCAGCAAAATTATGAAAGGGAGAAAGTAGAAGACAAAAATATATAAATAAATATCAAATATATATATGTACATTTCAAAGCACTGCTAATTGTAGTGCTTGACCACACCATCGTGTTCACGGAAACAAGCAAGCGGGTGCAACCGTAATGAGATGATTTAGCCCCAAATATTTGTCGCAAATTTGACATGAAAGTGTGTATCAAACTCGTAACCCTTCACATTAAAAAAATACTTTGGAAGTAGCTCTCAGTTGTAAAAAAAAAATAGTGACCCGCTGGTCACTGTCATAAAGCTTTCATACGTGTAGTGGATTCAAATATGATTCCAAAAGTACTCATGTTTTCTGGAGCTGCTACTGTTGTTTATAACTTGGGCAAAATTACTCAGGAGAATGTATCTTTCAGAATTTGGTCAGTTGTGTGGAATACGTTGTTTTGAAGCAAATGAGATCAAATGGGATCCACCAACGGACGGGAAAATGTGCCGCGCAGCCCTCTGTGATGACAGAACTTAATTCTGCTCATTACAATGCTAGCATTTAAAGAGGCGTTCAAAACCTTCAATATGCATCTCCCATCACATCCAAAGGTTTTTAAAAGGACAATCAGGAATTTTCCTTCAATCAAGAAAATGTAGATGGAGATAAATCTCTACCTGTAGCTTGAAAAAAACCCGACAAAACTACAACCAAACATGAAACACTGGTCTGGTAGGTCTTGCGATTGCAAGATTGCAACCCTCATGTGGTCTGTTGAGTCCCCTCGACACCTGGTAACCATGGTGACTTCAATGCACATTAGCAGATGACGTGTCGCCACAGCAACCCTTCTGTATTATTGCAGCCCCTTTTCTTCATGTCTGCCTGGGAAATTTCCATCTCAACAAGCTGTTAAATAAAACATATTCTTTTCAAAGTATGTCCTTTTCTATTCACAGTTTTCCCTTTTAATGCGTCATTCTCTTCATGTAACAATACTTTCAATGAACTCAAAAAAAGGTTCAAGATAAGTTTCGGTCGATCCTGCGTTTCACTGGTGACCACTCCTTCGCGGATCTCGCCTACTGCCAGCTGGGATCATTTTTCTCTTTCAGTTCTGTTTTTTTCCAGCATTATTTGTCATTTGGTGCAAAAAAAGTAAAGTGAAGCAAGAAAGATGACCGCATGGGATCGGAGAACAGAGCTAAATCTTTCTGTATGTGTTGCTCACCGCCACCTGAACTTTCGGCTGTTTGAAAAATGCAGTTGCTTCCTTTGAAACACGGCTTGTCGCAAACGTGAGTGACGTCATGCATGCACGCTGCGATCATACCAACCGGCGCCCTCATACTGGTCAATCTCGAAGGTTCACACAACATGTGCAACAAGAGGGAATGAAACTGCACTTGTGTGTGCCAAGTACGAATGTAAAGAGAGCTATGGTGTGTTCTCAATGGAAAATATTTTTGGGGTCATGCATGACTGTATTAACCATTCATTTTCTGATCCACTTGACTGTATTATTATTCTCTATTATTGCGATTATTATTATTATTATTATTATGATTATTATTATGTTTTGTTCACTGTTTTGTTTTTGTTCATTGTGTAGAGTGCCTCGGTACAGTTACGGCTGCTGTGAAAGACCTTTCTCATTAACAGCTGAGCTCAGATGAATAAATGTACGTTTACGTCAAAGTTCACCCCTTAAAGGCCAAAGACCACTCTTCGTGATTAGCCAATCATCACAGCGCTGAGCATCCACTTTGACAGTTAGAAAGAAGACGTAGCAAATGAAATGTACTCACAGAGATTCCAAGAATACAACCGAGAGCAAATTATTCCAATTAAGGCTTTCAGTCAAGATGACGCCCGAGCCTACAAGGGTGTGCTAAACGCGCAGGCAGAGTGCATTAAAGATTTGTCTGGAGCGTGATTAGAAAATATCCACGACGCTTAAGCCTACATTGCTTCTCTCTGACCCACCCCCCCGACACACACACACACCACCAAAGGTGAGTACAGACGAGTATTTGACCAGATTGCCTTGAAGAGCAATGGGGAAATCGAAACACTCAATTCATCATTTCAGTGTTGTTTATTAGTATTTGAACAGAGGTCTTGTTGGAGCTATCGTGACGTTCTCCTTCGTCAGCAAACTATGAGACACGAAAACAACGGCACGTCTGTAGTTCACCCAATTGTGCTTCAAGCGCTAATTCATTAGTCACCAACTCCACACAACCAAATTCCTGTTTCTTATTGACAATTTATCAAGTCATTGGTTAGCATGTCCATCCCTCATGGCGAGGGATTCCTTTGATGATATTTTTCGTGAAATGTTGGTGAAAATGCATACGCCCAAACGTTTGGGATTTTGTTTTGGCTTTTGCATCTTACATTCAGTTGGCTTTAATAACTTTTTAAGAACTGGCTTGTTTGTTCAAATTAGTTTTTGATGTAGGGAAAGATGCTAACGGTTGTATTGTATGCAAATGAGGTATTTGTGAGGTGCAAGGGTAAAAGGAGATAACTAAGTACTGTATAAACGTTTCCAAATAACAGTTTGATCTTCCTTCTTCCATACAGTCATACAGTAATACCGCAAAAAAAAATGTTCATGAAATGTGCACTGAAAGCTGATATATGAAATTAATAGACAAAGACAAAATCAAAGTACATTTTTGACATAGTTACATTTCCGTTACTTTTATAACCGTAAAATATAGTGTCCGTCAGTTTTCTGTTTTTCATCCAAGCATTCTCGTTTTTTTATTTTATTTCGTTAACAGAAGTGTAATTTCAAATGTTGTTTATTATGTTCACATTTTCATAAATGATAATAACTTCGGTTGAGATCAAAATTTCCCAATGCATTTTATCTTTCATGGGTTAAAAAAGATAATATCTCAGGTGATTTTTCTCATTTGTGAACGCGTGTGCAATTTGAATCACGTTCAGGATTTGGCATCAACTTTCATTTTAGCCAAGATAATTCCATCCACATTTCTGTGTCTGGTAAATCAAATTGTTCTGCTCAGATAGCGCCTGGATGAATTGACCTCCTCTTAGCTATGAATGAGGATCGCCACTCACAGTTTTTTTTTTGTTTGTTTTTTGTTTTTACAGGAGACAACTCTTTCAGCCTTTGCGTAAGATGCCACTCCGAGTGCCCTTGTTTTCTTTCATTTTTTTTTATGCATGCGTTAACTTAAAGCAACGCGTGCTATACAATGCATCATCTCCTTGGGACACAGAAATACAATTTGCATGCATTGAGTCGGAGCAGAGAGTATCAAATTCTTTCACCTATTTTTGCCTGGAGCTCATTTAGTTGAGGCAGGTGGAGCTGATAGATCCTTGCGGGAGCTGTGAGCATTTCCAGCAGACTCACCCGATTCGACGGATAAGCCTTTTTTGCAACCCTCACACTTGTGTCACGATTTTTTGTTCAATGCTTTAAATAGCATCCTAAGTGGGTAATTGTGGCTTCACAATGCCAAGACGCTCCACGACCTCACCGGCTCTTTCGTTTTCCTCAAAGGTGCATTTCCACTCTCATGGGGATGCCAGCATTTTCCCGTAGTCTTCTGTGCCTTGGTCTCAATGATCTTACTTTGAGGCGGGCAAGACACATTCAAACTGCAATGCAGCGCACGCTTTTGTCTCTGCTAATTGTCAACCACATGAGACGTGCGTCACCTCGGTTGCCAGCGCAGAGATTTACATCTACCGCACTCGGGCTCGGGCCGCTTTTGACCTTCACAGTCGGTTTTGCTGCTTGCGCAGCCTAACAGTTTTGCCGACGCCCAGCCGACAAAAGCACTGTTCAGTCTGAACAAATGAGCCCCCGCCTTCTCACGACCCCCCTCTCTCTACCTTTTGTTATTTGCATTAGGAATCAGTCTGCTGATTCCTCCTGAGGCCATCCCCAGAGGCAAGATCTATGAGATTTATCTCACCGTTCAGAAAAAGGAGGATTTAAGGTGGGTCCCTTAAGCATCGCCTGTTTGTTTTGACGTCCAACTGTTCTGTGTCCTACTGTCTGTTCAGTGCTGTATTTGAGCGATGTACATAAATGAAGTAGTTTGAGTCAAACTAATTATTGGGCAACGCTGCTGTTCATCTGGCCTAAGGTAGATAGTCACTAGTGCAGAGATAACAATAAAGTACTCGGACTCGGGTCAATTAGTGGAGCTCGGTGTTCCAAGTAAACATGGTGAAGCAGCATTTAACTGCGATGTAGTATTTCTGCAAGTGTCTGCATAAGCTCAGTGCTGTCATTGATTGAAAGTTGAAAAATTGAAGTGAGAAATTCACAGATTGGTTTGCATTATTGTTGTAATATGATGTGGGATGTACTGACTTTAGTTTCCACCACGCTTGTTTGGTAGAATTTTGCGCAATTATCACAGTGAATGCTTAAAAGACTGCACAGTGTTTCGTAGGCTAACAATTCTGAACCAGATCAACTCTCTCACATTCATTGGTTGGTTTATTTGCCTTTGATTTTAGCCTAACAGAGCAAAACATTTCTGCAGACTAAATGTGATATTGTTTGCAGATGATTTCTTGTTTACAAGAAAGCACATGGGTGGAAAATGATCACATTTTCAATCGCAATCACACTATTGAAGGGGAAAAAAAATTGTTCAGCTCGAGCCACTCGCTCATAGTTTGTGACCTTGTCGGGTATTCCTCACAACCTTGCAATCCAAGCCTTGATTATGAAATCCAACTAATTTGCAGAGGTGATCGTGTCACACAAAGCTTCCTTAATTAAAGAGACCGGTATATTGACACTAATAACTCTCGTAAAAGCTCTTCATGATGCTGAATGCCGCGCTCTCTCCTGACTGGTGTAGGTTACCCCTGGCCGGCTGCCAGACCTTGCTCAGCCCTGTTGTGAGCTGCGGGCCTCCGGGGGTCGTCCTGAGCCGGCCCGTCATCCTGAGCATGGACCAGTGCTCTGACGCATGCCTTGATAACTGGGCCATCCGCCTCAAGAAGCAGAACTACGAGGGCGCTTGGGAGGTGAGATGGCACAATAGCGCCAACCGTTGAGCCTTCATCGAAATACACCACAGCGTCTTAAATCTGGGCCAGTGGCGTGTGCTGTCCAACCAGAGCCGGCACTTGACCGCAAGAAGGTTTTCTTGTTGCGCCGAAAACAAAAGCCTGGAAGCACCTCCTCTTTCCACTTCAGTAGTTGCCAGGCAACATGATTCTCAGAATTACTTACCGGTAATTCAAAGTACTCTTTGTGCTTCTTGGCTATTTCTGCTTGTAGTTACACTTGGGGGTGGAGTTCCCTCCCCATGTTTCTGGCCCTGAAATTGGAAATTAGCCGATGATGTTGTCAAGAACTTTTGAACTTCTCCAAACATGGTTTGTTTCATGGCTTGAGGCAGCAAGTGGAAAGACTGTTGGTGGTCTTTGCTGTATCAGAGGTCATCTCTCATGTTCAATATTGCGCATAAATAATTCACCCTCGCCACGTGCGGTGGCACTGAGCTGTCTATGGAATGGATTGGCCTGTCCGAGGCAGGAGTTTGACCTGCACTTTTAGTCATCAATCCAACCAAATATAGCCCAACTGCATGACCATCGTTGGTAGAAAGTGGTCAAAGAAAAGATGTTCTGTCGGTGTTCGGAAGGAGACAGAGGAAATGAATCGAGGAGCAGGCGGAAGGGAAATGAATTGCTCCTGGAGCGAGCACTCAGTGGCGTAATTGAGCCGTTCCACACCTCCAGGAAATATTAAGATGATGAAAAAGTGAGAGACTGTTGTGGTTGCGTAGCAAACGAATTGTGTCAATGCTAATTCCATCGATGTAGATGGTGTGCGGTCCCATAGATCAGACCGTTTGGCAGTCATGATGCTCGCTTCAGCCTGATGTGGCCAATGGGAAGAGACAGTCAACTGGCATGATGGAGTTTCCAGAGAAAACATTGTCACCTCGAGTCCAATCTGTCCCCATCAAATTAGCATCGAGAGCAGTGTTGTCTCGTAAAACAAGTCCTGATCTGGGGTAGTTTTTTTTTAAGTCCCCCTTCATTATTACTGGAGATGCTGTGGTGGCACAGCTGCCGCTCTGATATTTAAAATCCGTCTGTTTCCATTGGAAAATAAGTAGCGGTTAATTCTTGTGCCGCTGTAATCTTTTTTTTTTTTAATCAATCCTGATCGTCAGGCAACGGTGAGATGTTGTGCATGAAACGAAAAAGTTGTTTTCGTCTCACTTAACAAACTCCAAACTGGGAAGATGCCCAAAATTGTCAGTGATCCAATATTTACCAAGCTATCTGTTCTTGCCAGTACTCTAGTCTCCTTTCAGACCCATTGAAAAGCTTGGGCTTGTTTTTCTAAGCCACTAGCTTGATAGCTGTGGAATTTGAGCACATTGAGTTTTAGCCACGGTTGGGTTAATCATTCTGACCCAGCAGAATGGGTAAGATTTTATTTGGCCAAGCTAAAGAGCTATATCTGGGTGCCATTTTGGACAGTTTTGTTGTGTAAATGATGGAAAATAGGTGTCAGGAAGGGAATCCAGTGTAAAAAATGTCCCAAACATATCATGCATCTGGTTTGCTGTGGCAACCCCTGGCGGGGGAAAGTTGCTTCGTCTTCTTATTTGAAAATTTTGGGAATAAAATGAGTATTATTTTAAACAACAACTGTACTTATAATGTGGTAATGTGTCTTTGGTAGCTTTCACTAATAAGTACGGGTAGTTTTTACTCTAGAAAAGTACCGATACTGGACATTTTTTAAGGTATCGAGGGCTCATGGAGGCTGCCGATACCAGCCACCCATACTTACTGCGGCAGTTTGACACATCAGTGAATCATCTGCGGACAAAGAAAGTTTCACAATTTTTTTGTCATTGTGTTAAATGAAATTTGAATATCAAATGTAGTAAAGGTATCGTTACTTGGTATCAGTGAGCACTCTGAGTGAATACTCCTATTAGTATTGGTCTGGGGGCCAATACCCAACACAACATGCTGCGTGAACTCCTAAATCCAATGCAGTGAGTATAAATAATCCAGCATTTGCTCGATCCCTTTTGGACCCAGCACTGCTTTGATCTGTTTCTATATCCGCTCAATCATATTTGGAACATCAACTTAAAGACCTTAAGACCAGATCTTTTTACCAACTTACAAAAGCCCCTGTGTACAAAACCCTCTGCGCTTTTATGAAATGGCTTCTTGACCTTTGATTCACAACTAACTGTTGTACTCCTTGCCTCCTACAGGATGTCCTACTGATGGGTGAGGAGCTAGCGTCGGATCCCTATTACTGCCAGCTGGAAGCCGAAACGTGCCAGCTGTTTTCCGAGCAGCTGGGCACCTTCGCCTTGGTGGGAGAGTCTCTGCACATGGGTGCCGCCAAACGCTTGAGGCTGGTGCTCTTCTCCGACGCCTACTGCTCCACGCTAGAGTACAACATCAGGGTCTACTGCATGGACGACACGCAGGATGTCTTTAAGGTACATTGCGATGTTGTTTTTTTCAGGTTTTTTTTTTTTTTTCACACTTAGAATACATGTATGCCGTTAGTTGATCATCAGGTAATTTGACTTGTTTCGATTATGTTCGAAGGTCAAACTGTCTCTGTTGTATAACCTTTAATTAATTGTACAGGCCATGTGTAAGTAGGGACATTTAGTTAACTGTCATACATGTACACTCTCAAACAGTGATTCCCAACCACCCATTCATGTGCTGTCAGAGGTTATCCAGTTTCACTTAATTGCCCAGTTATTTGCAATAAATACAGTATGTTTTCATCTATCAATGACAGCAAAGCATAAAGGACAGCAGAACTAGCAGAACAATTAAATGCTATTCCGCAAGATGACAGCAAAGGTACAATTAACTTGATTAGCTGTTTGTCGAATCGGAAAAACAAACACGCCAATTTAAAAAAAATGAAAACACTCAAATGGAGCTAAATTTGGCCAAACTCATGTTGGGCCAACCGCACTGGAGCTCTTGGCGGCAAGGCTAGGGTAACACACACACAACAGTTGCTGTTGTGATTTTTCGTTTGTCCCAACGTAGTCATTACACTTTCATATCTAAATCTAACAGTTTATTTCTTTACATTTGCTTTTTATACAACAACTGCTGTTTTTACTTATTGAAAACAAAATGGTGGTGTGTTGAGGGGACTGGAATGGATCATGGCATTTCATTTTATTTCAGTGGGGGGCAATTGGTGAAGGCATCATGATGTACCTTTTCTTATATAAACGTGGCTGGGCTCAGCAAAGGTTGGTGAACCCTCCTCTTGCCAACTGAGCACTGTTTTCACTACATTTTGCAACCCCTTCCAGCAACACTTTTTTTCCAAAAAAAGATACTTGCACAAATAGACACAATAGTCCAAATGTTAGCAAAGTGGAGTGAAGAGGGCCACGAAGATTTGGCCTGATAAAACTGTACGCAAAGCTATAGTTTGGTATACTGTACGTATTAGGTATATCATGTCATTACTTTATCATGACACAAACCCAATTCCACAGAAGTTGATACGCTGTTAAAAGAGAATACGATGATTTGCAAATCATGTTCAACCTATATTTAGTTGAATAAACAACAAAGGCAAGATACGTAATGTTCAAACGGATAAACTTTATTGTTTTTAGTGAATATTCCTGAACTTTCAACGTTATGGCTGTGACTCATTCCCCAAAAGCGGGGACAGGTGGTAAAAAAGACTGAGAAAGTTGAGGAATGCTCATCAAACTTCTGTTTTGAACATCCCACCGATGAAAAGGGTAACTGGGACCAGGTGGGGTGCCATGATTGCGTAAAAAAGGAGATTCCGTGAATTGCTCAGTCATTCACAAGGATGGGCTCACCTCTTTGTGAACAACTTTTGTACATCACTGTCAATATTGATATACTTCCCGCTTATCTATTTGGGAGTCCTGACTAAGAAAGATTATTTCTCAAAATTAATGTGATATATGCATTAACATGGTATTCTCAGATCTATGTCCCGCTTAGCAAAAAGATGCTTTCTCATTGAGGCCACTTTTATCCTGTCTGGAGGAAATCAAGACCTGGATGGCACTAAATTTCTTGAATTTTGATGAAAAGAAGACAGAAGTTAGGGCGTCCCGGTGGTCCAGTGTTCTCCCCGGGCCTGCGTGGGTTTTCTCCGGGTGCTCCGGTTTCCTCCCACATTCCAAAAACATGCACGGCAGGCTGATTGAAGACTCTAAAATTGTCCCTAGGTGTGGATGTGAGCGTGGATGGTTGTTCGTCTGTGTGTGCCCTGCGATTGGCTGGCAACCGGTTCAGGGTGTCCCCCGCCTAGTGCCCAACGACGGCTGGGATAGGCTCCAGCAACCCCCACGACCCTTGTGAGGATAAACGTATCGCAAAATGGATGGATGGATGGAGAAGACAGAACTGATGGTGTTTGGTAACAGTGGCCCTTCCACATCCCATCCTGCGGACTTGGGCCCCCTGGCTCCTTATCTTAAAACAACTGGTCTTGAACTTGGGTCTTAAACTGGACAGTGATTTAAAATTGGACCGGCAAATTGGCGCCATTGTTAAATCCAATTTCTTTCATCTTAGGCAGCTGTCTTGAATAAAGCCTCTCATTTCTCAAGAGCACTTTGAAACATTAGTTCATACCTTTGTTACATCCTGGCTGGATTACTGTAATGCACTTTGCTTTGGAGCCAGCCAATCCTCCATTAAACGTCTCCAGTTGGTCCAGAATGCTGCTGCTCGCCTATTGACTGGTACTCATAAGAGGGAGCACATTACTCCTATTCTGGCATCCCTTTAGTCGCTCCCTATACATTTTAAAGTTATTTTTAAGATCCTATTATTTGTTTTCAAATCTTAAAATAGCCTCGCCCCTCCTTACCTCTCTGAGCTCCTCCGCCCCTATGCACCTGCCCAGAGCCTCGGGTCTGTGGACCAGACACTACTAAAGGTACCAATAACTAAGAAGAGGCTCAGAGGGTATCGAGCCTTTTCCGTTGCTGGTCCCTCTCTTTGGAATGACGTCCTGCTGAACGTTCGGCAAGCCCCCTAACTGCCCATCTTTAAAACTCATCTTAAAACTCATTTTCATTCTTGGGCTTTTGACTCAACATGAGAATTGATACCATATTTTCCACACTAAAAGGCGCACTGGATTATGAGGCGCACCTTCAATGAATGGCCTCTTTTGTAATTTTTTTTTCATACATTGGGCGCACCGCGTTATAAGACGTGATCTACAATGCATCCACTAGATAGAGCTACGCGCAAGGAAACGCCAACAGAATGATCAGATGTCAGTAAAACTTTTTTTAATAAAGCACCGACACAGTTCACTTAACCAACAGCAAGTTATAACATTGACTCGTTAACGTTGAACTCTCTTGCTGCTGCTCTATTTCCGTGTTCAACTGCGTAACCGATCGCTTTAAGTTTGAACTCTGCGTTGTCAGCATGTATTGAGCTAGGAGGCATTTTGGGGTCGAAATATTACCTTAATGACCAGACACAAGACGCTGTTAGCTTTTAAGAAAATGGAAGGCTTTTAATTGCACCTTTCAGTGTGAAAAATACGGTACATACTTTCACTGTTTTTTGTGCTTGCTACTGTCTTTGTTATGAATTTACAGATTTATCGTTTGTTGTTGTTTGTATTATTTTGCTCCATGTACAGCACTTTGTATACAGCAGTGGTTGTTTTAAAGTGCTCTATAAATACAGTTGATTCTTTTATTGGCTCATCACATGTGCAGGTTTAGCTAATGTTTGGCCTTTACCTGTTTATGTAAGAAAAGCAACAAATCAATCATGCAAAGAAATCAATCGAACCCATTGCAGATCTTATTATTGGAAGCCGATTGTTTTCGGTTCGTAGCACACAGAGAATTATAATCAATTGCCCGTTGGAGCACATCCTGGTCGCTTATGACCATGCAGTTATGATAGCATTGTCTTTTAGCTTGCTTCAACTGAATGCATTAGACATAGCCAGAGGGAATGTAACAATATAATTAAACAATGTGGTATTGCCAGTGTGTGAGTTATGGATGAGAAACAATGCATAAGTCCTGGATAATGACAGTATGCAGTCATCGGCAGCATACTGTATTTGTGTGCACGCCCGGTGCTCCTCAGCTGCTGTAGGCCATCGCATTTCCCCTTGCTTTGTTCATTCGCCGTATTTCCCCTTTTTCCTGCCCGCCGCGTGGACGTGGTCTCATCAAGTGCTAATGCCTTCCTCCCTCCCCCAGGGGCTGCCGCTGAGTAGTCGGTTAAGATTTCATTTGCATGGTTAATTAGTAAATTAAAAGGAGAGCCTGTCCCAGTCTTCTCTCAGCAACCCCCGTGCTCGCTCTCTCGCCGGCCCACTCCACTTCATCTGACACCACCCACAGCCACAAGTACCATTTCCTACTCAAGTCCACTTCTACTGGCTGTAATGGTCGACCTCATTCTCCACATGACCGCCACCAGGAAAATCTATGGGCAGCGGTGGGGCATAAACAAGAGGGAGGCAGCGAGGGCTGCTTGGGCTGAAGCTGATGTGAACCTCGCACAGGCTGGAAATTACTCAGAACTTCTGTAATGCCTTTGTGTAGTAGTCACAAGGGGGTTGCGCAACTTCACAGCCTTTTTTTTTTTTCTTTAAGTCGACGTTAGTTGAGTCGACATCAACTGCTGTAGCCGCTGATGACATCATTTCTTTTGGGAGGTGTCCGCCTTCCTTCCGCTTTGATAGTGTGTATCGTATGGCGTACAAAGGGGTTCAAACGGACTGTAAGGCGTAATCCTCATGGAAGCTCTTATTCACAAGCTCAGGCAACGACGACGAATTTGGATAACGGATGGATGAATTCAAGTCATTTGTTAATCCTTGCCATTTTAATACTGCCTACCTTGGTGATACAGGGAGTCAGGGACACATTTCTGTTGAGTGTTAAGTCCAGAAACATCACTATCGTAGCCCGCATGTACCGTTTTAAAATGCTGCTCCTGGCGTTCCAGATTCCCTTTCTTGTGTAAGTGGTCTCCTGTGAGGCTCTGACAGTATTCCCTCAAAGCTGCCCACGTGAGCAATTGCGCATTGCTTTCACCTTCTTCAAAAAGAATCAAACCTGAGCTGTATTTGCATTTTGTATTTTCATATTCTCCCAATATAAAGAAATTGAAAAGTTTATTTGTTATTTGGCAGAGATGGTTGACGGAGTGAGAAAATGAAGTGTGCCCCCCCCCAAAGAAAAAACTGATTGGAATGCTAGGCCAGCACATAAGATGCCGAGTAATCATTGTCACATCCGAACCTTGCTCCCTGCTGAGGCCACGCCTCCGAGCAGACGCAGCATTGTGCAGCCTTCTCGCTGTCCGCTCACCATTATCGACCGGGGAAGGAGCCTCGATGCTTTTCGTTGAGTATGTCGATAGTTCTGGGTTTGGAATTCACATGAGCTCACGTACCTTGGTTTGGCCACCGTGTGCATGT